TTATATTGTGTAATCACAATATTTATGTATATGAGGATTATACTTTAGAGTAAAAATATCAGCCCCTAGAGGATTATACTTTAGGTCATCATGTCAAGTAACATTTCAATACACTATAATCTAAAATAACACATTATAAATATCACAATATTAAATAAATGATATTTATGTTGCAAAAAATAAGTATAACATTTGGAGCATAAAAACTTCAATACAAAAAATACAATATTTCATTGCATAACTTATACATTATGATAATATGGTATATTAAGCATGCACCTTATTACATAAAATTTAGGGTGTGATATATATTATATGGCACAATATATTTCAGTCTATAAAACTTCATCTATGATAAATTAGTAAATAAAGCTGCATATCTAAATACATGGAATTTATATTGAATAAGAGAAGACATTCATAACATAGTTTATTAGGTCTCATATTTGTAGCAAAAAAAATCATTTTTGTTGGGACTGTATTGAAATGACATGGGAACATGTTATAATTTATTTAATGAAAATGATGACATATATACATGTACCTCTAAATAATTAAATATCTTATACCAATATTAGATTGTATTAATACAATAATCTAGGAAAATTCAAATTCACAAAAAAAAATGTTAGTTTAAGTATGTGGATGTTGAGATATAATATTAAATAGGAAAAGTGAATTTTTGTCATAAATATGTTATCATTATACTAATAGTTGAATGAAGATTTAATCCATTCTATTTGTTGTTTGATTATATTTTCAAGCATAAAATAATAAAATTAATAATCAAGGAAGATATTAGAAATAATAAAATTGGATTATAATAAAAATAAAATATTTTAGATAGAAAAATCAATGAAAAAGATAAGAAAATAAACCCATGCTCTACACAAGTAGAGCCATAGGTTTACAGAAGTGAGTGAACTTAATGAGTTGAGAAGCCTATCACTCATTCTTAATCCCTATTTGTGAAGATACTAATTTGAGTATTAGTAATAAGGAAAACGTAAGCTAGTGACATGGTGTTTAATGCAAGAAGATAGTTGACATGACTTAGTCGTTGTATAGTAAATCACACAAATTTAAAATTTATAAAACTAGAAAATACGAGTTTTTAGATATTTAGAAGTATTTCTGAAAAATATATCAAGTATAATTCAATAAAACTTCTAAAAATAGTAGTAATTTTTCAAGTCGATCACATGAATATAATATAATATTAGGTAATTATTCAAAATTTTCCTCAAAGTATACTATTTTCTATAAATTTTATACTAAGAAATGAAAATGAAATATATTTAAAATTCATAAAAAAGGGAAATAAGGGTGCAGACATCAAGATGACGTCAGCACCCGGTGAACGCGAATCAGGCAGAAATAGAGTTCCACTCAGTAATTCTTACATAAGTGATTACAGACGATTTAATTGATCAAATTAAGATATGTAAAAGCTAGAAGAATCATAATTGAATGAAGTATAAGTTGTTAAATTTAAAATCATACAAATTATCACTAAATGAAATGAAAAGTAAGTTGAAAGTAGGAAAATAAAGTTCCAACGTCGTGGTAGTGATGCGTCGGTAATGCATTGGAATTCTGAGCGTTCGGGAGAATCGTCGTGTAGTGTCCACGGCCTCGAAGGCTCTCCTTGGACAAAGACGACGTGGGCAATCTCTAGATCTCTTTGCGAAGTCTAGAGATCAATGAAATGGGTCGTCGAATCGTCTCCGATAACTGTCACCTGACAGAGTGAAAAAACGGTAACTTTGCAGCTCTCCGACGATTGTCACCCGATGGAGAAGAGCTAGATGGAGGTGAGGCGCGTGTTAGAGAGCTTCATCCTCAGGTCCGCGCAACAAGAGGAGGCTCTTCATCGCATTCGGTATGCTCTCAAGAGGTGGCGACTTATCTCCCAGCAGATCGTCCTCTTCCCGACAACGGCTTGTCCGTCAATCAATCGGAGATGCTTTACTCGATGGATTCGCTATCCTTTTATCGCGAATCGTTTAGCAATTTTAGTAACAATACTCCGCGAATCGTGTTGATGAGATTTTTGCTGATGATCTAACGATTCTGGTTGCTTAATCCTTTACCGACGATCTACAGGAAAGTCGCGATAATCAGATAAAAAAAATATGAGTTTTGACTCTAGGAAGATTCGAACCCGCACTGATCGCCCGCCCTTTCTGGGGAAGGTGTGATGCAGGTTTAGTCCCACATCGCTTGTGCGCCGAAGTTTTGGACGAATATATAGTAATGTTACATTTCAAAGCAAGTTCTTTTTTCATGTGTGTACGACCACTCCTTGCCCCATAGTTGACTGGCCACCGATGACGTGGAAGGAGAGTGGCACACACGTGCCCTTATCGGTCCTAGCTGCTTGAGCTCTTGCTCGCGGCTCCTCCCCAACTACACTTTTGATCCGCTTGTGGGCCTGGCTAGCCAGCGGGTCCCCCCCATTTTATTTTATTTTATTTTTTCTTTATTTATCTCAAAAGTAAGACTCAAAAAATCATATAAATTCGTATAAAATCACATAATTACCTAAAAATTCATGTTAATCAATTGAAAACCACTTTTCACACTTTAACATAAATATAAGTTTATTTATCATGAGTTAAGGCTAAAACTATATTATTTACTAATTATTAACTCATGATAATGAAGACTTATCAATAGTCTTATGAAATCTATAATAAGATTTGTTCATCCTATGAATTTTAATTGTAGTCATCTTAAAGAAAATATTTAAAACTAAGGGTAAGAACTATAGGTAAGTGTACTTATGGAAGGACAAAACCACTATCAAAATGTGTTTTTTATTCTTGACTATTGAATAGTGTTCAACTCATTTGCATACTATTTAATAGAGTATAAATAAATTCTATAAAAGTCAAAAAAAATATGGACATTTTAAATGACTAACTTAGTCTCCCTTTTCAGCTTTGCACCCTATCTTTAAATCATTGCTTTAGACCAACAAGAATGACTACACTATGGTAATAAAATGGAAGCTATTCATTTTGATGCATAAATTATCATTTTATAACCATATAAAGTGACATCTCACTTGAATGTAGAAGATTAATGTATCATAAATAGTTGTCCACAAAATTAAGAATATTTAAAAATTCAAATTAATATGAGTAAGAGTAAAGAAAACAAAAAAGCAAGTAGTAACAAAAATAAGGAAATGTGTCCAAGTTCAGGTGAAGATAACTCTTCAAAGAATTATGCACTATAACAAGGACAAGTTATGGCATCTAACTATTGTAATGTTCAATTTAATCTTCTTTGAAAATTTTATTCATAGGGGAAAACTTTAACCACTAGTAATAGTATTTGAAGGCAATTTTGACATTTCTAGCGCCATGAATGCATAACAATGTGCCAACACTAGATCTCTAATGTTAAATTGTCTATAGCTGTGAATCTAGATGTGAGTGCCAAATACATATGAGTTGTAAATCTAATAAAGATACGTCAACACTCAATGTTTGGATGTTGTGCTATTTGTGTGTAACGTAACTTACATAGAGTATATTTGAAGAGTTGAGTAAGTGAAAATGAATGAACCATTTTAAATTATTTAATTCTCTTGATTGAACATTTCTAGAGAGAAAACTCATTGAGTTTTATAATATACTTGTACAATTGCATTAATTTTTTTCAATTATTATTTAAAAAATAATTAATTCAATCCCCTCTCTTGGATTTTCATGGCTTTATTGACCCTATTAGTTCCATGGGACCTATGCATTGAGTCCCATGTTCTTCTTGTGACCCCTTTTTAGTGAATGGTGCATAAGTTCATCAATTGTGTTTTGAATTATATAGTTCATGCATATCCTTGCAACTATGCATGAATATCCACAAGGGTTTAGAATAATTGTACAACAAATAATTCTTGGATAGATTGAATGTCACGAGGGTTTCCTTCATTAATAGACCTTCAATGTATTTTTTAAGTGTATACAATCTTTTCTCAGAAGGTCATGAATATCCCTATCTATTATTAACATAAGGCAACTTTGCTTGGGAGATTAATAAACGTCCAATAACTAGATGATGGGACTCCGAATGGATTGTGAACTAGATTGACCAATAAAACAACCATTACCAAGATAATAAGAGCCATGTTCTCATTGTGTGAGCGTGGAGAACATAGGGAAGTCCAAGGCCATGACATCAGAGGTGTAACGACGATCTCAAGTCTAAATCCTCCTACCGTCGTCTCCAGGTCATGTCGGGTCCGGTTCTCCCTAAGTGGCAATAAACCGATCCATTAGTTTATTGAGATGGTTTTCTATTTAGTCCCACATCGATTATTTAGACAGCCAACACCAGGAGACGCCATATTAATATGCTGTAGGAACGACATGGTTCACTACGCAGCCGCGTGGTGAGCACAGAGCGAACTATTCTTTCGCCTTTTACTAAAGAATACCGTGTGCTCGCCACACACAGCGGCATACGCCTATTTTTGAAGGGTCCACTCTCTCAGACTGTGGATCCTAATAATCGTCAAACCAAAATTTTGGCCTATTTCTGAAGCGTGCGGACTCTGACATTTTGGGTCCTAACAAGCATCAAATCAAAATCATACCGTCAAAATGTCAAAGACTTAAGTGTGAATTAGTGTAGAAGCCGACGGAGCTGAGTCAACTCGTCACCGGCCCCGAGTCTGGCCCGAGTCCTTCGCGGTGCGGCCAAAGCGACTCGTCGCGGTGCACTCAAGCGGCGACCCAGTACTGCAAAACCCAGTCAAAAATAAATGGACTGTGTGGGCTTTTTGGGTTTGTCTATGGGCCGTGTCGAGCCCACTATTTCCGGCCCAAATCTGGCTGGCATTTCGTTGCCCTAACTTCCTCGAGAGCTATAAGAGAACCAGAGAGTCACCCCTTCTCTTCTTCTCCTTCTCATCCCCTTACTGCAGGCACTCGGCGGCGGCGGAGGCGAAACCCTAGCCCGAACCCTAGGAGTGAGGGAGGAAGAAGAAGATGGGGCGCGTGAGGACGAAGACGGTGAAGAAGTCGTCCCGGCAGGTGATTGAGCGGTACTACTCCCGCATGACGCTGGACTTCCACACCAACAAGAAGATCCTAGAGGAGGTGGCCATCATCCCCTCCAAGCGCCTCCGCAACAAGATCGCTGGGTTCTCGACCCACCTGATGAAGCGGATCCAGCGCGGGCCCGTGCGGGGCATCTCTCTCAAGCTCCAGGAGGAGGAGCGCGAACGCCGCATGGACTTCGTCCCCGAGGTCTCCGCTATCAAGACGGAGGGCATCGAGGTCGACAAGGAGACCATCGACATGCTCGCCGCCCTCGGCATGGCTGACCTCCCCGGCGTCAAGCAGGCCGAGACCTCGCAGGGCGCCGGCGGCCCAGGCTTCTACGGCGGCCGCGGAGGCGGCGCCGCCGGCCGCGGCAGGTACTAGAGAGGTGATCCAATCTCTACCTACTTCCTTTCTGTTCCAGAGCAATCTAATTTTGATATAAAGACCTTTTTCTATGCTGGGATGAGATCTCTAGCATCATGTGTTCTTCGATCTCCATCTATGTTCGTGTTAGATTAGTCCCATATCACGGGAGAAACTGGATATGATTGAGACATGCGGGATTTATCCCCCATCGTTTGATTATTATCCGAATTATGTTTTTAATGTTCCTGTGAATCTTGGATCTGGATGAAACGCTAATCTAAGTTTTAGATTAAAATTGGGAAGATTTAGAAGACATACCTTGTGCGGGAGTCATGAAGAAACACGGTTATCACTTGAAATCCGGCCAAAACCCATTTCGTATTGGATGTCGAAGCTTCATCAGGCATCGGCATCAGTGATAAATTCGTTGATGTGAGCTTGAAATATCGAATGTTGTTTAAGAATACCTTGGCATCGGAGATTTAAATCGAATATGACTGTGAATCAGAGCAATTTGTTTCCTGCCAAAAATTATAGTTTATCCAATCAAATGGCGATTACATGGATGACAATCAGCTATGGAATAGAATCTATACGCGAAATACACTTTTATGGATGATAGATTGAAAGTATCAGGATTATAGTGCGGCTATGGACTATCAGCTCATCTGATAGGATTTGTATTAGTTTGTTTCAGCTGATTGATGCATCAAATCTTCAGAAAAGAACGTCGCATTTTGGTTGGGAGAACACTTTTAAGCTTTCTGATGGCATTCTCTTCTCGAATCTGGAAGAGATTCGTGTCTTATGTTTCGGAAAACGATTTGAGGCGCCATGTGTTTGTCCTTCTCACCAGATTTCTTACTCAGGCGAACATGCGAAACGAATGGTTAGATCCGGAAATAATTTACCTAAAAATGCAGGGGCGGAGATCGCAAGGAGAAAGGTTTCCAAATATGCTCACCCTTGGGAAGAAAATCACCCCCTCGAGAATATCGGATACTGACCAATAGAATGTGCTTCACTAGACTTTAGGAGTTCCCTTCTTGCACACTATCTACAGATCGGATTCACGACGCAGTGCACGCCCTACGAAGTTCCCTCAGTCATCGACGGAAGATGCGATCAAGGTTATCCTCATACTTCAAGAAAGATTTAGAACATAGCCTACGCGAGATAAATAATCGCGTAATCGAATGAAGGTTACCTGAATAAATAATCCTACCTCTTCGCCGTCGACGACGCCTTGATCATCGGGAACCTATGGTGATGTCCTATCGCCCGTAGATCATCGAATTCTGGAAATTTTCCTTCGCAACGTGCTCTCCACAGCATTACTAATCGATCTCAGTCAAAAAACACGAGGTAGAGAGCGAGAGAGAGAGCTAAGCAGGCCTCGCTGTGGAGAGGAACGCAGAATCATCCGACCTCCTCTGCATCCATGACGGCTGAGAGAAGCAAGGCAATCCAAAATGCAGTAGCCAGAAATACGCCTCTCCACCGAATTCTAAGCAAGAGAGAGAAGCGACGGAACCTCGAATGCAACTACCAGAAATACGCGCAGAAGCCCTACGCATCTCGCGGCAGCGGGGGGGGGGGGGGTTGGGGAACCAGCCGTAGCAGCTCCACCTATCCTCTCTCTCTCCCGTTTCTCCTGGTGAGTGTGGGCCCCACTCTCTCCGACGCCTTTCATCATTATTATGATATTTGTTTCGAATTCAAGCCGCTGCATGATGACGTCATATCCGTCACCGTCTGGAAGTGGTGGAGGTCGTGAGGGTGTCGTTCTTCGCCGGTGCCCTCACCGCTCCCCGTCGCTTCTACAGGCTGCAATTCCCCGGGAGTAAAGACGCGCCATTCGCCTCGTCGCTAGGACGCTCCTCCGGCGCTGCCTGCTTCCAGAGATCGGTCAAACCGATAGGTTTCTGCGCTGTTCTGGTGGTTGGGAGGAGGGTGAGTTGCCGTCGGGGCCTTCCCCTTGGGAGTTCTTGCTAAGATAGGCCGGAGAAGGTGAGATTTCTACTGGTTGCAGCCGTCGGTTCGTCGTCGGCCGATCTCGAATCGGACGCGCCTGCAACTGGATGGAATGCCCCGTGAGTTCTCGGCTCTGTCGTGCCCTAATTTATGTTTTTTCCGATTGCTAAGGGATCATTTCTAGCATCCTGATTTTTCGGTCATGGTTCCCATTACGGGCATCTAATTCTTCCTGGTTTGCTGGAAAATTGGCGCTAGAATAAGTTGTGTCCGCTTTGAGGTTTTCTTCTTTTTTAGCGATTCTCTCCTTGAGGCAACATTGCCGTGGTTCCCGTCTGTACGTGGCAATCTTCCTAATCGACAGATTGGGTTTTTTTTTTAATAGCAGAGCTCAATTTCCATGCTCTTTATGAACGCTATTGAACAGGAGAAAGATGTACCTGAGAACTGGTTATCTTCTTCGATATTTAATGGCTTGTACCTATCGTCGCTTATCAATTTCGTAATCATTCTTTTTTTTTTTTCAATCTTTGATGGTAATCTTACAGTTTAAAACTAATATAGAAATCATCATACATCTAAACCGTACCATGGGCTGGCGGAAGATCTTGTTAATTTCCTGTCATCTGTCATAATTTCATAGTTTGAATTCAAAGTTTCTACTGAGTTTTTTAAATAATGAGACTCGTGTTTGCAACCACTTCTTTTCTTACTTTCGTAAGATTTCAGATCGAGCACATTTGATGATGATTCCCATGTAATAATGATTGTTCTTCCAGGTTATGTGAGATCTGCTTGCGATAATGACGAGGCCTATGGTGCTTGCCTTTCTTTTACTAGTACTCATAATCACATCCCAATTTGAATGGAAACAGCAGCTTGTGAATGACATCGATACAAGTCAGAGAACTTTGGGAAAGGAACAACATACTATGAAGAAAGAGGAAATTGTTAAAGAAAAGGTAAGTCTCCATATCCACTGCTCCTTGTATGTGAAACTGTGATGCCAGTCTCTGGGAGTTTCTATCTACAAAGTTGATGAATGCATGCTTCAGATCGACACCATCAACTAGTCCTCCTAGACAGCATCACAATTGAGACTCCCTGACATCATCCATGAAATTCTCGCTAACATCAAAGTCAATGATTCAACATTTTACATTATAAAAATACCAAAGTTGAATCACTAACCAGGGACAGTGTAAAGATTTTGAATGCATGCTTCATATGGGCACCATCGCCTAGTCTTCCTAGACAGCATTACAAGAGAGACTTCCAGAACATGAAATTCTCCCTAAAATCAATGTCGATCATTCTACATTTTACTTTATAAAAATACCAAAGTTGGATAACAATCCAGGGAGAGTTTAAATATTTTCATCTCACTTTGGTGTTGTTGGCTGAGACCATCTTCGGTCCAACCGGTTTTCCTTATTGAAGAACCTTCATTAGATTCCTAACTGCACAGTTTTAGCAACAGCCTCACATTCTTCTTTATTCCAGTTTCGCTGATGCATGCAATATCATACAGCGTGATGTGATTCTTCGATAATGCTTTAAACACAAAGTCATCTCCCTTGTTTATTACCGGAGTGGACGTTTTTCTTTTTCCGAATGACCCAGGAACACGGCAAAACATTTACTTTTCCAGAACACGATCTATGGAGTAAATATCTCTTTCGTCTCAAAAGAGTTTATCTTCATACTTATGCCTACTCCTGTATTTCATCCCCACTCGTTGAACTTGATGGTTGACCCCCAAGAATCCCGTTGAATTTTTTTCTCTTCTTTAAGAACAATTATGACGAGAACCCATGTTTTCGGGTTTTTATTTCAGATATATATATATATATATATGTATCTGGCCATCGATTTTTCCCCTCCTCACAATCTTTATGGATGCTTCGAAAAAAAATTCATTTTGATTGGGTCGATCATCTCTCCACCTGTATCGCAGATAATCTTGTCGCAAGAGAAGATGATCCGACGGCTAGATAAACTCGTCCACAGCCTCCAGCAGCAGCTGCTGCAATGCCAGAGCGTTGACAACACCTCGGAAAATTACAACAGCAACCCCTCAACGCTGAACACTTTGGAGGTCGAACCGCAGCGAACTCTGAACGGCTGACATCCACGTCATCATCTCCCCTCAAGCCCCTGAGATTTGTGGTGTCATTGTCGTAATTCGGTCCATCATCGTCCTTCAAGCAAAGATTGATTGTTCGTTTGACGGCTGATGATCCGTTCTTGGTCTTGAAACATAGCCAGCCCATGATCGTAATCAAGAATGGGCCGGGGTGGTCTTCCGTGGTTGGCCCGTTTTAATCCGGGACTAGGCTGCAGCAGGACGGCCCACTAAAGCTGTCGAAGTTTCTGAGCTTAATGGGCCTACGTTTTTTGGCCTTGTCATGGGCCCGGTCAAAAGTGTGTATGTGTGAGCATCGGGAGTCTCGCCTCACGTTTTCTCTGAGGTTAAGGGTAATCGGCGCATTGAAATAGCCTATAGCAAGCTGGAGAGAGAGAGAGAGAGAGAGGGGAGGGGTGCTGAGCAGGAGGAGAGTGAAAGAGTGTCACATAGGAGGTGAGGGAGAGAGAGAGGGAGAGAGAGAGAGAGCGTGAGCGTGAGACAGAGGGGGAGAAAGCGAATATAAGATGGAGACAGAATGAGAGAGTGAGAGGTAGGAGCCAGAGAATGATAGACGGAGCGAGAGAGAGAGATTTACGAAAAGAGATAGTGGGGGGGTGGTAGTAATAGTAGGTAATAATAGGAGCTGCAGCGGATACACCCCACTGCCCCCAGCTTTAAGAACAAGAACTGCAAGCATTAATAAAAGACGAAAATGAAAGAACCCCTTGAATGTTCTTAATGGGGTTTTCAATTCTCATGGCATGTTGTCTCGCTGTTTAGCTGGCATCAACATATCATCCCCGTAAATGTCTACATGAATGCCCACCTGCTTTACCCCTCCCCCCACCCCCCGCGTCTCTCTGTCTACTCTCTCTCTCACCCTGCTCGATTGACCTCGCGTCTAATCAAGCCTTCAGAACACTGCCCAGAGCGATTCAGCCGGGGTTCGCCCGCCGTGAGTGGAGGCGCCCAGGAGACACTCAGAAACTTCATTTCTTCTGGAGCATTGAAGACTTGCCATCAGATTATAAACGTTTGTCAGAAATAAAGGAGGGTGGAGGGGGCGCGAGCCTACTCAGAATTCCAGTTCATCCCTGAAGAGAGAAGATACGAAACAGGACACAGAGAGAGAGAGAGAGAGAGAGAGAGAGAGAGAGAGAGAGGATGGAGAGAGAGAGAGAATGAGAGAGAGGAGAGAGAGAGAAGAACGCGTTGGATCCAAGTGCCCATCTCAGGGGCACGGCATGCATGTAAGAGGAGACGAATGAAATCATAACTATCAATGTCCACTGTGGGTTCTGTCGACAGTCGCCTCGCACGCGCGCACTCCTACGTGCGAGTGAACCAAGTAGCCAGCACAATCGTCGTGGACCCACTAAGCGTGCCTTCGCTGAACATGCTTTCCAGATAATATATATAATTTATTGATATTTATGACGCGGAAAATAGCCTTCATCTGAGGAGATAACCGTACCTGTCACTCAAAGAAAGAGATTGAATGATACCCCCTTGAAGGACTTGAGGAGGGGATCCAACTCCCCAGCATTGACTTACTTGGGCTCCTTACATTCAATGCCCTCGGAATATTTTTTTCTCACCAACGTTCAGGGCTGTGGGGAGCTACTACATTAGGTTAGAGAGAGAGAGAGAGAGAGAGAGAGAGAGAGAGAGAGAGAGAGAGAGTAAAATATTCTCACATGGTTTGGCATGGAAATAGTTGGATAACGGAACTTAGTATTGTTGGACATTCGTTGACCAAAAGCCCATGTAGTGTGTGCCAGTGAAGTAGCTTGATTGTTGTTCTTAGTACAGATATTAAGACAAGAGAAGGGCAGCCACTGATACGTAATTCGGCTCCTCATTACGTTAGATGACAAGTTTGACTTGAGAATGAATCATGGAGGGTTGTCATCACCTATCAATAGCTCTTGGTAACATCCACATTAGGTACCATACAATTTCTTGTTATTTTATAAAGTACCCACCAAGAGAGAAAATAAGAAAATAGGTGAATAATCAACTAATGTTGAACAACTTGGGTTTTGCAAGTACCCACGAACATTTGGAAGACAAATCAAGATTGGATTATTTGTCAACTGCTTGTCGCATAAGGTTGACAATCCACACATATAGCCATATGATGATCCACTTAGTTCCATGCCAACCCAAATAAGAGCGAACCAAAACAAAATTCGAATTGGGTTTTACACCCTGCCTATGATAGTTAGTTGAAGAGTATGAAAAAAATTATTAATTCCCAATTAGCCGCTATTTCCTGCACGGCCGACAGTATACACATGTAATCCAATAAGAAATCATTTTCTGTAAATAATTACTAAATATACAGGCAAATCGAACAATCTTGTGCATATACGTGTGGAATAAGATCAGGGAAAAGTCAATGCTTTGATTATAATTCTCAAACGATTTATCACGGATTCATCTACCCGGCTGAGGCATCAAGATTCATCGATCACTCAATAAGACAGAATTTTTAAATACGTGTTAATGACCACACAGATGATTATCGATGAGATTCAAGAGCATTTAATTTTCATCAATGTTCTTATACTTCAAGTGATATATAGATTATCCAATTTTATGAAATATACGATATTTCCAGCACGAAGATCTAAGAGGATATTACAATTATAAAAATTATAACTCGTATTTATTGAGATTTCAAGTTATCGAGGAGAAAGGGGGGACAGAGAGAGAGAGAGAGAGAGAGAGAGAGTGTGTGTGTGTGTGTAATGAGCAGATATGTCGGTAAGTTCGGTCCGCATGCAGTAGTTTTGATGCCATTACTACTCTTCCTCCACCAATCCTTGAATTCCATTTAATTCCCCCCCTCAATTACTGATTAAATAAAGACGCAAAAATGAACGATACATAGAAAAAAGGGAAATTAATTAACCTTTCTCTCTCTCTCTCTCTCTCTCTCTCTCTCTCTCCCTTCGTTCTCTATATAACGGCGTAGGGAGGGCAGCGTCCAGCAGAAGCCAAAAGAGAGGGACTTGATACCAGCAGCAGCAGCAGCAGCAGTTGCTCCGCCGCCGGAGTGATATCCAACGGCGTAGTTTCCACCTTTCCTCCGCTAAGAGAGATCAAAGGCTGAAAGCGGCGCCTTAACATCAATGTATTATGACAGCTCGCCGCCACCCCCCTGCGAATTCTCCCCTGGTTTCTTACGTCCTCCGTTTTCTTCCTTTTTCTGTCTTATGAAATGCAGCGCCGGAAGATCTTCGTCAAGAAGTGGGAAGGGGAAGAAGAAGACGAAGACATGAGCCGAAATGGGAAGAGCCCAAAGATTGACCAGAGGCCGAGCCTGTGGAGCCCCCGAGGGAGCTCATCGGCGGTAGGCGGCGGAAGCTCAGCCGGCCGCAATAACGACGGCGGCGGCGGTGGAAACAACGGGAGAAATAGAAACCTCAGCAACTCGCCCCACCGTTCGTCCACGTCGTCTTCATCGCCGCCGAGCTCGTGTGTGTCTTCGGAGTCGGAGGATGGGAAACCGGGATCAAGCCCGGAGGCGGCGGCGATGGTGCTGGCGGGTTGCCCACACTGCCTCATGTACGTGATGCTATCGGAGGACGACCCAAAATGCCCCCGCTGCAAGAGCACCGTCCTTCTTGACTTCCTCAAGAACAACCCAAACTCTTCCACCTCCAGGAAGACCAGGAAGAACTGACCGCAGAGAGAAGAACCGCCCTGAGACATGGAAGGCACTGAAAACCGCCAACCCTCTCTCTCTCTCTACATGGTTCCTCATGTTTCCCTGGTAGGAAGGAAACAGACGGGGCATGCTAACCAGTGACCTCTCTCTCTCTCTCTCTCTCTCGCTAGGGATCATTGACGCTAGGTCTTCTTTCTTTCTTTTATTCCCTCGTCATTAGTGTATTTCCCTGGGCTTCCCTAGTTCAACTTGGTCTGTTTCGTTTGCCCACAAGGAATTATCCATGATATTCCCCAAGTTCCTCACCCAACTCAGTTTTTCTGACAGTCCTTTATTCCTCCGATAATAACTATCTACTTACTTTTTACCATTGTATTATTAAAATTATGCACGTATCCGTATATTTAGATCAACGGCTTTAAGACGCCTTTATCTTGGACTGAGCCCCCTATTTTAAATTAAAAAAATGCAAGAATACTAGTCCCACGAAGCTTATTAATAATTCAACAAAAATAATGAACTGATATGCCCACAAATTGATGCAGCAAGGGGCATATAAAAATGAGGTTTTTTTGCATTGAACCCCCCGTAGAAACAAATAAATGCGGAGTAATTAATTGAGACGGTTGAGAGCAATGAAAGGATCACCCCCCATCGTCATCACTTCCCTGGAGTCGCCGTCCTCGGACACCCACAGCGGCGGCACCTCCCCTTCGCCTTGGCGGCGGCGCCCTCTGCTGTTAAAATTATCGGAGGGCAAGAAGAGCCCAGAGAGAGAAACACCCATGATCAACGAAGAGGAGAGGGCAAGGGTGCGAGTGGGGAGAGAGGCAGATAGATAGAGAGAGAGAGAGAGATAGAGAGAGAGACAGAGAGAAGAAGGAGATACTGAATGGCGGCGCATGCATCCTGATGGGCCACGGATAGACCATTAAGGCCAACAAGCGTTTCTATGAAGTCCATCGGCCCATGTTTGGCCCAGTCCAACACGCTGTTCTACGACGCTGTGGGGAGCCACGTAGATCCGTACACCCTCATACAATTCTATATATATGTGTAGAAGCTCATTTATGACAGGTACATAATACGAAGGGGCCCATCTCACGTGCGAAGAGAACGGGCCAGTCTCACCGTCCTTATCGGGCCAGAGCGGAACTTCTCGGACCATTCTGGCATTCTAGATACGTGTCAAGATTCTATCTTAATAGGCCACCAGTAGAGTGGTCTCATGGACAATAATAATAATAATAATAATAATAATAATAATAATAATAATAATAATTATAATAATTATTAATATTCATAGTCCGGAATTTTTAAAATATTTTTTGTTGAAATATAAAAGAATATGTGCCCACCCCCACGCTTAATGGGTACGTTTATGAAAAGGCGAGGGATCATTTATCTGTAAAATATCGGGGGAGAATAACAATTCCTCTTCGAGCCCGAGATAATTGAATACTCTGAAGTAGTAATTACTGGACAGGGTGAACTTTTCTGGCGGCGGCGAAGATGGAGGGAGAAGACGATAACAGCGGCGCGAAGCTACGCGGTGGCGGTGGCGGCGGCGGAGAAGACGCCGGTGCAGATATCGGAGAAGGCGATGAGAATGGCGTCATGGTGATGGGGGGAGTTGAGAACGAGGAAGCAGCGGAGGAGCTCCCGCAGGTCCTCCCAAGCGAAGATCTCCTCCTCAAGGATCATCTGCAGCATTGATTCCCGGAAGTCTTGGAGTGGTTGGTGGGAGACCTTCACCACCGGTACGCTCTCCGCTAGCCTTCCCTTGGCGGCGCCGCGGGGGGGCCGCTTCTCCGCCGCTGTCGCCCAGAGGGCGCAGCGAGGGGACGACGTGGCCTCGGTGAACGGAGGAGAGATGGTGGTCTCGCGGGGGGACGTTGCGGCGGTGGAGGGTGACTGAGGAGGCTCGTTCCAGAGAGGTCGGCCGCCGCGGCGACGGCGGTGTTGGTGTCGCTTGCCGCCGAAGTTGGTAGCCGCCTCCGGCTTGGCCTTCGCAGGCGGGAACGAGAAGAGAGACCCCAGCGTTGTCCTCCGGCAGCTGCAGCCTAGCGCCGCCGCCAGCGGCAGCCTCTTCTTGCTGGAGAACGACAGCATTCTGAAGCTTAGAGAGAGAGAGAGAGAGAGAGAGGAAGGACAGACAGCAAGAAAGAGAGAGAGAGAGAGATAGAACTTATGGTGGCCGGAGAGGACGGGAACGCGCGTTCCGTACGGCCCACGGTAACCCCACCGTCGTCGTTTTGTACGTCCTCTCCCGTCCGTGCGAGCTGCCATGCATGTAAAATAATGCACGGGCCGTGTTGACAGGCCGAGGTAAGTGAAAGCCCGGCCTGGTACCCCTCTCCCTCCATCCTCCACTACGTAGCCGACACTCTGCCCCCGCCCAAACCCGGGCTTCACAAGAGAGGCCCAGTTATGGGCTCCTTCCGGGCCAGGCCCGGCCCCTTCAGATTTCCTACCTGGCATATTCCCCTCTTTCTCTCTCTAACATACTAAGACGGTATGTATTCGGGATTGATGATTAATGAATGTCACCGACTTTACAAAGTAGATTCCAAAAGATGCCAGTCAGCCCACGATTTGCCAACGTATTCCGGGCTCTCTCTCTCTCCCCCCGTCTCTTTCTCTCTGTTTTCGTCCAGCTCAAGCCGATGCCCCCCACGTGGTGATGGGACGTGTGGAGGACCGTCGATGCGAACAGACCGTGGTATTTTTGGGGCCTTATATGAGCCTCCATCACGGTAAGGCCCATAGTCGCAGAGCCAGCCCATTATGAGCGTGGACTCTTCTGGCCCATAAATATTGCGGAGAGGGGGGAGTAAATGGGCTGGGCTGGACCTGCGGAAGGGCCCAGTCAACGAGCGAAAATTTAAAAAAAGGCAACGACGCTCTCAATTTTCTTTAAAAAATTAGAAATGAAAAACGTGGGCGAATATTATGATAATAAAAAAATAACTAAGAAAACAAAAGGGACCACTAAAACGAGTCGAGTAATTACCGCGACCGGAAAAAAAATATGGAGAAGAGGACGAAAATGAAGGACCTGCCCACCGAATCTCCCGGCGCCGGCGACGGCCCTGGTCAGCACTGGTCGCCGGCGGGGGTTTTCCGGCGACTGAACCAGCGGCGGATCGCCGGAATCAGCCAGCCGCCCGAGAAACCGTCGCAGAGCCAAGAGAAGCAGCCCTCGCCGTCGGAGGGCTTTGGGGAAGCAGCCATCGGCTGGAGATAAGCGTGGGCCGCGTGCTTGACCAGGCGATTCCGAATTGGGAAGTAAGGCGGCGGCACCGCCGTCGGAGACGGTGACGACGGGGGCATCATCAGGTCCCGGAGGCTCGTGTACCTGCTTCCGCCGCTGCCGCCGTCGCCGCCGTCGCGGCGGCGGTAGTCGCTCTCGTCGCTGCGGTGGTGGCGGAGGCCCTCCGCCGCCCACTTCTTGCGCTGCCCGCCAATGGCCTCCGCTGCCTGTTCGAGCTCCGGCATGGTCAGCGAGCGGCGGAACCCGTTGACCCGCCGCGGCGCTTCCTCTTCCCAGCCATCGGCGCCGAACCTTCTCTCCATGCGTGATGTATTGGCAGACCAAAAAGAGGGGCGGCGTGTTGGGGAGGAAGAGCCAGGGCTGACCGGAGGGTGGGTTGGGAGCTGAGAGCTCCCCTAGTAAATTAACATACATATATCTATATAAATATCACGAATCTGAACGATAATCCCATAATAACCGCGACGAATAATCAGTCCAACATCTTCGAGAGATAATTTGGGGCCGTTTTACCTGAAAATCCCGCATTTCGTGGTGGGCCCGGCGGGGGAAGTGGTCAAACTCGTAAACTAATTTCCGACAGGGAGTATGATTTAATTTTCACATATTAATTCATTTATTGGAGATTTGCTCGCCGCATTTAGCTTTTTTTTGCGAGTGATCGGTGGCGTCAGCGGGCCGAGCCGGGCCAATCGAGATATCTTCTTCATCGGGCCCAGGCCCGAAGAAAGGGTCAGACAAAATGACGACTATCTGGCATTGCCCGAGTCGAAGTGTCCTTGAAGATTCGGCGTGGGCCCTGGCAAATCACTATTTTATGGCCCTAGCCCATTATCATACAGGCCCCCCCGGCTCCACCTCGGCCCTGCTGTATATCCAACTCTCCTAGAGAGAGAGAGACGTGACTGTATATGAAGTGGACCCCACGTTACGGGGCAAAGCGAGATGAGGGGGGCGAGATTTTGACCATCCCAGCTGGCAGGTTGAACGCCGGCGAAGTTGGTGGGTATTCTTTATTAATTTAATGTATTATTTATTCCCACAAGTAATTAAATGTAAATGGTGTTAAAATGTGCCGGGGCCCACCTGATGCAGCTGTCGTTGACCATCTGAGCCGACCGTTTGGGGCGGTTGAGTGGATAACGCCGTAACGAACGGCCTTTTCAGCACACGCTCATATTTGCATCAATAAAGGACTCTTCATTGCTTCGACCAATGAAATATTTAGCTTCACTCGCCAAATCGCCTTGGATCAAAGGAAATGGGCGTGGCCCGATCATGTATATATCGAACATTGGGCCGACCCATTATTTGAACCGGTCCATTAACATGCCCGATTGGGGGGGGTACTTGTATAAACGGGCTCTTCCTGCCATCTCTCTTCTCGTTGCGCCAGTTGGGGAACTCTAAAGAGGGGGGAGTGAGATAACGAAAGCAGCGAGAGAGAGAGAGAGGTCTACGTAACCTACCATGTTCCTCCTCTCTCTCTCTCTCTCTCTCTCTCTCTCTCTCTCTCTGTATGCAACTCTCTCACACAGTCGCTTGAGCGATCTTTTGATTTGGTACGTGGACGAACAGGCGGCAGCTTAGGTCCTCTTCTGACGATAGAGGAACTCCTGCCTGTGGCCGCACTTGCATTTGACGCACGTCGTCTCCGCCTACTCTGACTCTTCGCCGGCCGCCGAAGGAGGCAGCCCTCCCTCCCTCCTCCTCCTGCCCACCCACCAATCAGTCACCGACGGTCAAGAAACCCACAAGACAGAGAAGGGAGAGAGAGAGTGTGCTGCTACATCTTCCACGTAGCAAAGCGAAAGATCGATCGAGCGACTGTGAGAGAGAGTTGCATCCTCTTCAAAATGAGTGGGTGAGGGAGTACTGCCTTCGTCACCCTTCTTCGAAATGAGCACAGCGCCATCCTCTCTCCCGCGGCGTCACTCGTCGCCAGCGAACCTCGAAACCTCTTGCGGCGGTTACTTCTGCTTTGTTCTCGCGAGATAGTGATCCTCTCTTCTCTCTCTCTCTATCTATCTATCTTTCCACCTATCTGTATCACTCTCTCTTCGGTGAAATGGGGAAGACTGGAGAGCAGTGAGGCAGAGGGGCAGGATGGCAAGGGATCCCGGCCCAATCGGAGGGCATTCTTCCTCAAATTCTCAGCTTGTGAGTTCTCTCGAGTTAACCTTCCGCCGCTCTGAATTTCTAAGACTAACAAGTTCGCATCTACGTTAACTGAGCGAAGAGGCAAAACCAGAACACTAGGAATTTCTAGAGCACCTCCTGCGTGGTGTCGTTGTTTTCCCGCGATAATTCTCTGCGAAGAGGATGCTCCAATTTCAGACGCTGTAGGATTAATCTTTTGTAAGTGGGGTGCTTTGTGAAGATCTGAATTGATTGATCAAATTCACATTTCTACCATAATGTTACCTGAGATAATTGGATTGATTACTTATATCACAAGTACGGATATACTGCGACGTCCCAGGACTACGAGATTTATTCCCCAGACGGGGCATTTGAAGATCCCCTGATACGCGTTCATAGGTATCTCACAGATGCGTCTTGTTTGTTTAGATAGCGTATAGATTTATGCCGACTGATCTTTCTGTTCGAAAAGTAAGAAGATCAAATCGGCATTTTATTCTCTACCTAAGGTACGATCATTGTTTCTAGTATGGTTCCGCTTTTCTATACATCTTATTACGCGTGAATCATTGATTTCTTTAGTCTATTTTCAGTAAATGATGCACCACTCGCGCTCCACGGAGGATCCCCGCCAACAGCATTCCGCTCTGCCGACGCCGGAGGGCCCTCCGAAGTCGGTCTCCGACCCGCTCCCCTCGCTGGCGCCGTGCCCCGCCGTGGAAGCGCCGCCCCGTCAAGAGGACCCATCGGGCGGAGCTTCGCCCGCCGCTGCCGCCATCAACGAGAGCCGCCACTCGGATTCGAGCGAGGGCTCTTCCCCGTCAATGACTCCCTCCCAGTCTCTGGTTCCTGCCGTCGCTGCTGCAGATACCTCGTCGACCGCGGAAGCCGTCGGATTGCAGGAGAAAGCGGAGGACGTAATCCCCGAAGATGGAATCAAGAATGAATATGGTGTGGTCGTCTTCAAGGTTGGTCTTCTTTTCTTTGCTCCTCTCTCTCTCCATCTCTCTCTCTCTTCCCTGTCATGTGGGTTTCTTGGGCGTCGGTGACTGGTTGGTAAGGGGGCATGAGTTCCTGCGGGTTATTCCAACGGTCAAGAAATCGGCCTCAAAACATGGAAGGTAAAAAGTCATTTAAGATTAAATTACTAGATTAATCTTGAGGGGAATAATAAAAAAAAAGAGCCCACAGTTAATGCGTAAATTTCCTGGTGATAGACTACGCTCAGTCCTAAGACCACCAAATCTCTCACCAGTACGGGCTTGGGCTTTAGTACATCTGGCCCGGCCCATTTACTCCGTAGTCTAAAGTTTTATAAACAAAGAAACCAATGAAATAAAAATCGAATAATATCATTGGTGGGTCCCACATACAAGAATGCCGCCGCACTGAGATGGGTCTATGCTCATGCCATCTGCCTCTCAGCTTCCCAAAAAAAAAGGCTCGAGGGAAACTGACAGAGTGACAAGTGGAGGTCTTAACCAGAGAAGAGGAGAGAGAGAGAGAGACTGGGGCATTTGAGGGATTCTCAGTGGCGAGCTTCGTGTCTCTCGCCCACGCCGTCGTCGTGCTCGACCTGCCCAAATGGAAGATAACAAGATAAGTGACTAAGCGGTCCGGAGAATTAAACCCACTGAATCTTGGGGGGTGTGGATAGCGGCGCCCTCATGCTCTATCTCTATCTCTCTCTCTCTCTCACTTACTCAACTCACGGGGCATCCTCAGGTTAGGAGTCGGATTTCCTTCATCTATATCTATAACTAATGTACGCAAAAAATTGGCAGGCAAGAAATGGGAGCTATTGCATCCATTACACCCCAAAAAATAGATTATTACCTCGATGAGGACTCGCCCCTGTCTCCTAGATCTTGAATGAAGAGCGTCCCCTTTGGGCTTATCCTTGCGCTTTCTTTTTGAGCTCGGATCTTCCTCATCATCGCTGATTTCATCTGCATAACAAGATATAATATATAAACTTGTGAACCTTGATTTCATCAACGTATCTATTCCATTAATATTTCCGGTGACCAGAAGGTGATGATGAAGGACACGAATCGGCTTACCAGGCTCCTCATCGCTAAAAGAGTCGCCTTGGACGAAACCACCAAAGTCTTCCATGTCCTCTCCCTCCTCAGGGTCATCGTAGCCCTCGACATATTCTATCTCAGGTTCCTGTTCACATGGTGATTGGGGGATCCCGTGAGGCATATATCAGGCAAAAAAGGGAAAGGAAGAGGAAATGATAAGGGATGGGGAGGGGGTTTAGCAGTGTACTTCTTCTTCCTCCTCTTCTTCTACATCAGCGACCTTCATTTCTTCCATATTGAGGATATTATCATATGCTTCAACTGGGTAGTTGTATATGTCCCCGTACACGCCCTTCTTGAGGCGTTCCAGTAATTCTTTTTCGATGCTCTGAAAAAGTCAACAGGAATCAGCATGCGCACAGAGGAGAGAAAGGAGAAATTGAAGTATTAATAGTAGATAGATATTAACCTTCTCCAAGACTGCAGCCTTCTCGGCTTTCTCCTCCCTTCTGGCTTCTCTCTTTTGCTGCTTCCTTGGCATCGTCACAATCTTCTCCCTGGAATAAATAAAGAAAAAAAAAATCTAATAAGAAAAGAATTTTTTTCCTAAGAGTAATGTGGATATGGCTTGAGGCAATCGTAAGGAAAATCCACATATTATCAACTTTTCAGATATTACATGCATAAATAGAAATAGAAATGGGGGGAAAAACAAGATGACAGCATCAGGTGAAAAAAATGAACACACCTCACTTTCAGAACTAGCTTCCTCATGCGAATACGGTACTGGGTCATTTTTGTGAGACGTTGCTTGTTCTTGTGAACAAGAAATTTAGGCCAATATTGCTGTTCAATAAGAGATATGTCAGTCTAGACATTCTTTCAACCACACATCAAATCATCTAAAAGACTAAAAGACGAATACCAGATGCTTATCAATCAGTTCCAGAGCCTTCTCATAGTTTCTCGGAAGTTTAACCCTTTCCCACAAATCATTTGGTTTATGGGCCCTTTCAATGGTTTTCATGTACAAATAAAATACCCCTGCAAACAAAACAAAAGGCAGAAACCGGAATTAAAAGTGATAAGACCAAAAGGTTAAGGATCAACAATTACTAAACCCTAACAGGTTAAGGACATATTTACTAGTCCACTGGGGAGAACATTTTAGTTTTAAATATTATCTTTACAACGAGTGACTAAAACATAATTGAAAGGATGCTCACAGGCCACCCAATCGCGGCACGAGCTCAAAGAAAAAACACAACACGTTAGGAGCAAATTTGGTAGTTTATTCGTTAAATGAGGGAAAGGGTACCGAAGATCTTCCGAAAATAAGCTTAAAGAACAGATTTATAAAAGATTATTCCGTACCGATCTTTGCATATGTTCTCTGCTGAATAAGCTGACTTTATGAGTTTCTTTCGACATGAGTTAGGCGTGTTATGTTTAATTCTGTTAAAATTTTAGCCCTCCGAATCTTGTATATAAGCCCATAGATGTATCACCCGCTGTTCTGATTCTCTATATGGAACAGTTCCGGGTTGCTGGAGTGTGAAAACATGAAGTCATTTACAGATGGAATTGGCGAACAAAATGCGTTGGCGGGTGGGGGGGGTGGGGGGGTGCAGAAGGGGAGCTCTAAACCTTCGTGATCTCGTATGGTGGCGTACCGACTGTTGGCAAGAGGACAAGAGCTCCGGTTGCATATTCCCGTAACGTTATACGGATTTCGACAGAAATTTCCAGTGACGATTCTGCCGACATGGAAAACAAAGCACCATAATGAGTGCTTTCCCTCTTGGTATTACATTCAGAGCATCGGACGCAGATTGGATTAAAAACCAGAAGAGAAAAGTCGAGCTCACTTGGACATGAAACTGCAGTGGTTGTGCCTGATGACCTGCCATATCACGTCGTCGTGCTGCATCCTTCGGCGCAGATAGAAGCACCTGAATACTACTCGGCTTCCGCTCTCCCTTCTGTTCCCACAATGAGAAGCAGGCATTAGGGTTTAATAGAATCTACCGTTTACAGAGTAAATCATCCTCGCTCAATGACAGAGGCAGCCGTAAGACAGGAAGCATCCCCCGCTTGCTCTGAGTTGAATCAACGAACGCAGAAGAAAAGGAGGTCCTACCAGGTCGCCGGAGCAATTCGCCGCCTCCGCCGCCGCTACCTTCTCTGTCCCGGGCTGCGGGGTTTTGGAGGGCACGAATGGGGGGTAATGTTTCACATCAAACCCTAATAATTAAAATATTTGTTCTTCCATACGGTGAGGACATAAAAGAAATACTGTTTGATATAGGGGACCAACGACAGACTCTGTAAGTCAGAGCGTCAGAGAGAGCGGCAGGCGAACCAAAACGACGAGAAGCTGGAGCATTAGGCGTTAGGGTAGGAGAGCAGAGATGGAAGGAGATTCGTTGGCAGCGGCGAGGCGGGAGTCTCAGGGGACAGGGAGTGGCCCCTTAGAGGCCTTACAAAAAAAGCTAATTAAGTGAAATAATGGAAAGTTTAAGTGGGTGTCCTTTCGTATTCCGCATGCCTCTTCGTGTTCCACACATCTTCTCGTCTTCTACAAGTCGCCTTGTATTGTTTCGTGTGCATTACTTTCTCATCTTTAGAACATGCTAATAATTAAAAAAATCTTCAGCTTCCGGCTGGGTACATGGCGTCGAGATCTCCGAGGGCCTTCTGGGCCCAAAATTACTTGGGGCGAGCTTGAGTCCTCTACTGGCCCGGCTGAGTCAAGATTGGGCCCCAGTCCTACATCACCCTCTCTCTCTCTCTCTCTCTCTTCCTCAGCTCTATCTCCCTCCCTCTCTCTTCCTCATCTCTCTCTCCCCTCTGTCTCTCTCTCTCTATCTCTCCCTCCCTCCCTCTCTCTCTTCCTCATCTCTCTACCCTCTCTCTCTCTCTCTCTCTCTTCCTCATCTCTCTCTCCCTCTCCCCTCTCTCTGTCTTACAAAATGAGGGAGATCTTACTCTCACACAAAAACCTCTCTCTCTCTTTCTCTCTCTCTCAATGAGTAATCTCTTGCTCTCTCATGTATAAAACCAGTAAGCTCTCTCTCATTAATAATGAGGAATCTCTCTCTCTCTCTCTCTCTCTCTCTCTCTCTCTCTCTGATATGAGTGAAAGCTAGGTCGTCGATTACAACACGTTTGCGTGTCTCTGGAATCTTTGTTTATATTTTCCGGTCGTCTTCGTCGCGGGATTTCACAGTCGCTGATGGGAGCGTGCAACTGCCAGCGTTGAAATCCCGCCTCCGCTCCCGACTCTATCTACAGCTGACTGGGCCATCTATCCCTCGTCGGTCAACGGACGAGCACGAAGGCATCTTCTCCCGCAGGTTACTCCTCTGCTCCGAGCATCCGAGCATCCATTCCGGACATGGCTGAAATCTCCTCCGCGGCGGTGGCGCTGATCGTGGTCTTCATCTTCGTGCTCCTGGGAATCGCCGCCGAGCTCACCTACGTGCTGTGGTATCGCCGGAAATTCCGGAGAGGGCCGCTCTTCGCCGCCGGCGACCAGGAGGCGTCGCCGGCGGGGGGGGATGCCTTCGGGACGCCGGACTCGAAAGAGCTCCTCCTGTACCACGTCCTCTCGCGGGGTCACCAGTCACGCAGCGAGCGAGCTCCGCCGACCGGCGAGCCCTTGTACTCCGTCACGGCGGCGATCGGCTTCGCCTGGCCGGGATCCGACTCCCCTTACTACTCTCAGGCGCGGCCGTCGCCATCGCCGCCGTGGCACGGCGGGGTTTTCTACGGAGGCTTCCACGGCGCCCCTATTGCAGAGAAGGAGAAAGAGGAGGGGTTTTCCCCGGGAAAAGTATGGGAGGAAGAGCAGAAGCCGGCGGCGGCGGTGAAGAAAGAGCAGAAGCCGCCGCTGGCGGTGAAGAAAGAGCAGAAACCGCCGCCGGCGGTGAAGAAAGAGCAGAAGCCGCCGCTGGCGGTGAAGAAAGAGCAGAAAGCGGCGCCGCCGCAAAGAAAAGAGGAGGAGGAGGAGATGGTGGCGGAGGAAGAGGGAAAGGAGGAGGTGGTAGAGGAGGAGGAAGAAGAGAAGTCGGGGTTTGAGTTTTCGCAGATGGAGACGTCGACACCTTCGACGCCGTTCTACACGCCGACGCCGTCTCCGCCGCGAGTTTCAGCGCGCGACTGGGACCTCGGCAGGTATCTGGCCGAGTTGGACGACGAGGTCCTCTCGCCGCCCGCAGAGAGGCTTCTCCGCCGCCCGAAGATACCGAAATAACCATCCCGAGTTGCAGGTTCTCTCTCTCTCTCCCTCTCTCCCCCCGTCGTTCTTGTAATTTCGGCAGTCTTTTTCTATGAAAAAAGATAGAGAGAAACTGGACCTCTCTCTCTCTCTCTCTCTCTCTCTCTCTCGTTCTTGTAATTTGCTCAGTATTTTTCTTTGAAAAAAAAAAATGTATATAAGGTAAACAAGGGATTCAGAAGATGGGTCTACAGTGTTTGACAACATGATGACTTTAATAAATAATAAATTGTTGCATCAGAAATTAAATGGGCATTCATGCACATACACTCTTACATGAAAACTTTGGGCTGCACTCATCATCTTCAATACAAATATGGTGTATTGTTTACATGTATCTGTGAAGAAGAGAGAGAGAGAGAGAGAGAGAGAGAGAGAGAGAGAGTACTTGGATGAAGATTTAGGGCATTTCATGGGCTCGGATCCTTTCCGAACCTCATCAGACAATGAGTCGCCAGCATGGAAGCCCGGCGAGTGAGCTCAGCCAGTTGTCCCACCAGTGGTAACTTCACTGTCTCCCTGTTCTTCAGAGGCTTCTTGTCCCACCTGCAAGTTTGATCAACCCCAAGAGAGAATGGAGTCAACGAAGGTGGGACATAGATTATGAGGCTAAGAAATGCATCAAGTGGAGAGACATTATTAAGTTTTCGCTTGAATTCCTGGCAGGAACAGTAAAGCACAGATTATGAGTACATAGAAAGTTTTTATGCAGAAGACTGTGAGCTACTATAATTGGGAGGAGAAAAGGGAAGATAGAATCCTCTTAATTCCGAGCAGGAAAAGTACAGAAGGAAGATCAGAGCTGTGGATTCATAACCATGGACACCTAGGAAAAATGCAGAGGGCAGGATTACTATAATGACGAGTTCATAGAACAAAGACAGACAACTCTGAATTAACTGTAATAAGAAAGAGCAAAACTGTGAGAATGCATTGATACCATAATGGGTTCAGGGATCAATCTAAACACCAATTTTTCTACCCACAGGAGCGGGAAAAAAAATCACACTTGAGTAAAATTCCCAACACGAACGCCGTTGCTTTTTTGTTAGAGTGTTGAAGAGTAAATACAGAATCCAGGAAGCATAGCATACCAGTCTTCATGGCGGATGACCTTTCCATCTTTAAGATGAAGTTTGATTAGAGAGATGATGTTGATGTCTCTCCCCAGGATTTTGTAGTACTGCTTGTTGTCGATCAACACCTGCAGCAATAATGGAGAGTAAGCACATGATGAGATGTCCATGTCCATTAGCAAGGCCGATGAGACAGTCGGAAATGATGCTTTACCTCTCCATTTCCAGGTCCGGTAGCGTTTTCTTTGATGCTATATTCTACAATCTTTGATTCACTGAATACCTGTGACAGTAAAAAAGAAGCATAAATACTGGCCATTAGAAGTTCTTCACAAGCAACCATGGCGACCAAAAGAGAAGAACTGGAGAAAAGAGTGCAAACTTCGTCACTGCTGAAAACAAACCCAACAAATCAATGACTGGGTGTGAGGGTTTACGCGTAATAAGATGTACAGAAAAACGGAATCATGTTAGAAACAACGATCGTACCTTAGGCAGCGAATAAAATGCCGATTTAATCTGCTTTACTCTGCGAACAGAAAGATGAGTCCGCATAAATCTCTATGCAATCTAAACAAGAAAGACGCATCTGAGACATACCCGTGCGCGCGCATCAGGGGATCTTCAAATGTCGCATTTGAGGCATAAATCTCAAAGTCCCGGGACGTCGCAGTAGATCCGTACCTGTGATATGAGCAATCGATTCAATTAGCCCGAGCATCACTACGACGGAACTGTCAATTTGATCATTTAACTCAGATCTTCACAAGGCGCTCCACTGACAAGATTAATCCTACATCAGCTGAACACCTGAGCATCATCTTCGCAGAACATTTATCCCAGAGAAAAATGACGTCACCACGCAGGACGCGCTCTAGAAATTTCTAGTGCTCTGTTTTTGCCCCTTCGCTCCAATTAACGTAGATGCAAACTTGAAAGTCTTAGAAATTATGAGCGGGGGAAGGTTAACACGAGAGAACTCACAGATTGAGAAGTTGAGGAAGGATTCCCTCGGTTATCGAGCCGGATCCCTTGCCATCCTGCCCCTCTGCCCGCTGCTCTGCAGTATTCTCCATTTCGAAACGAAAACCTCGGATTCCACCAGACTTCTTGAAGAAAAACGACCAGAGAATCACCGCAGAGCCACAGAGAGAGAGAGAGAGAGAGAGAGAGAGGACCACTACTGCGCGAGGAGAACAAAGCAGAACTCGCCGCCACAGGAGGTTTCGAGGTTTTGCCGGCGACGACTGACGCCGCGCGAGAGAGGGCGAGAGACGACGGGCATCCTTGACGTTAATACCCTCATATTTTTCGGAAACTGACTAACCGGTGGGCGTGTGACATGAGATGGATGGGCCACATGCGGATCTCAATCAGACGGCTGAAATTGGCCCACGTCGGTCGACGTTATCAGTGTGACGTCTTTGGCGGCGCTGGCGGCCCGGTTGACGGCGTACTGGGTAGTGGAGCAGAAGCGCCCACCGTGCTAAACAGGGTAAGGTGCGGGGAAGAAAGAGAGAGAGAGAGAGAGAGAGCTTTCTATTCAAGAAATGGACACGCCTACGTGGAAAGAGAGAGAGAGAGGAAGGGAGAGAGGGAACACGCCTAATGGAACCTGATGATCGGCTAGTGACCGCTACCTTCTCTCTCTCTTTCTCTACCCCCTTTATAAATTTAATTTATTACTATTTTAATTGAGTTCGTGAAAACATTTCTCTTTGTTTTACACGCGTCCTCCTCTCCTTCTTCTCCATCAGTTTTTGCAAGAGTTTTTCATCTGTTTTATGGTTTTATTTCTAAAAACTGATAGTAGAGTTAATTTGTATCATGCATTTATTATTATTTATATTTTTTTCAAATTTCAACACCTATGAAAATCAGTTGCTATTATTGTAGTGAGAGATCTATGAAAAAAACCTTTTAGAACACTCATTTGTCTAAAAAATATTGAATGGTGAGTTTCAAAGCATCAAGATATGGATTTTTTATTTCAAAAAATTTATGAAATCTCATTGAGAGTTTTTTTTTAAATGAAGAAACTAAAAAAAATAAGATTTGAAGGATATTTTGGCAACATGGAGGAAAAGGCTCTTCTAATAATGCACATTTTTTTCTTGAAGTGACAATGCTATAAAACTTCCATTTATACATGGAGGATTTTAAAATAAGAATTTCAAGGTGACAACAAAGTCATGATGGTCATGTGAATAACAAAGTCAGGATTTTAAAATAAGAACTTCAAATACCTTGGAGATATTTCAAAACTTTTTTTATGAGATCATGTGAATCAATTAAAGATTTATTTTCACAATTTCTATTATTATAAATCAAATAAGAATTTTAGAGAATATATTTCATAGAGAAAAAATATTAAGAATATTTTAAGCACATTCCTTTGCAATATGATCATATTTTTACTAGAATTAAATAATATAAAGAGTTACCTATTTATTCACAAAATGAGCTCATAATTGTCATATGAAGAGTAGATTAAACCAAATATTTTGAACCAAAGTTGAGATTTCAAAAATAGAAATCAATAGCAAAATCACATATAATCAATATCAAGACAACCAAGTTGCATACATGAAGGCTATTATGATCATTGCTGAGACTATGGTGATGGACATATTGAAGTGAAGGTAAAAATAAGGTTGTGGACGATGAAATTATAGTGGAGATAAAAATAATGTAATGTCAATATTGTAATAATTTGGACATATTGAAGTTTATTGTTGGGATTAAACAAAAGAACAAATTAATTTAGTACATGTGAATGAGGAAAGTAATTTATTCATTATTTACATGACACCAAATGTCAAGTAATAATGATATCTAATTTTTGGTTAGTCCATACAATAGTCATATGATAGGTGAAAAAGAATTATTTCAAAATCTAGATACATCAAAGAAATATCAAGTTAATGGGGGAGATTAAAAAGATTCTCAATTGAAAGAATTATAACTATTCAAGTCCAAATAAAATCAAGCATAAAGAAGTTGATAAATGATGTTTACTCTTCTAAAATTAGCATACAACTTCTTGACTATAGGCCAAGTGACCAAATTGAGATATATGCTTCATTTTGTTGATGACATGTGTGTTATTTGAAATAAGAAAAGAAATATGTTACTCATTTCAATTCCTAAAGTTGGTAAAATTTGTTTCCTCATAACATTTAAAATTAATAGAGTTTCCTACAATTATCAAAAATTCTGATAATGCATGTATTTGGTATTTACGACATGGTCATTTATATTTCAATACATCGATGTTACTGTCATAAACTCATCTCAATCTCCTCTTGAGTTCTACAATTGTCAGTGCAATGAAAAAAAGAAAAAAAAAAAGAAATAACAAGTTAACTCTTAATTTTATATTCTCTACTCTCAAATGAAGTGAGATTGGTCTTTTATACTAGTCTTGATAATAACACAGTAGACCAGACATATCTCAGTCAATAATGAGATAAATAAGTTTGATTCTTAATGAGGGAAAATAGGTAAATGAATACTTAAATTAGATTAGCCCTAAATAGGCCCAAACAATATTGATTCAAACATAAGGATTGAGGTAAAAAGATAAGATAAAGTGTTCTTGACACTCCCCCTCAAGTTAGTGAATGCATGTCTTTCATTCTTAACTTGTATATGAAATGAGGATATGTGTTGTTGCTTAATCCTTTAGTGAAAAAGTCTATAACATGATTGTTTAATGATAAATATAGTGTACATATTAATATGTTATTTAACTTATCTTTGATAAAGTATCAAATTTCAATATGTTTGTTTTGATTATATTAAATTGGATTGTGTACAATGTTAATAGTCAATTTATTGTCACAATATGACTTAATTGAATCCTCCAATTCAACTTGCAGATCTTTAAAAATGATATTTGCTCATAAGGCTCTACATATATCTTGAGTCATAGTTCTAGATTCTACTTCTACACTTGACTTAGCTATCATATTTTATTTCTTACGTCTCCAAGTGATTTGATAAAAAATGTTCAATTTGTTGAGGTAGATCTTCTATCAATAATAAATTATGTATATTCAACATCAGTATATTGTGAGGACCCTACAAATGATAAATAGAAATAAGATGAGAGTAATAGAATAGAGAAAGATAAGATGTGATACACAAGATCTTCTTGCCGCAGCTAGACTATCCCCACTCCTCCTCGATTAGTCCTTGGGCCTTGCAGCAGTACCCAATCTCAATAGAAGTAAAAACATAATCTTCTTTCCCCCCTCTAGACCTTTCTTACATATGTTCACCTAGGGCTATGATGATGAGAGAGGGTGAGAGCCTCTTGTAAGTAATTGGGCATGTTGTCGCTTTCACTTTTGAGAGTACACAATCTGTTGGCCCACTTGTACCCATCATACTAATAGTGCTTGAACGTCTTACATTCATCCCAGTGCCTCTAGCACCTTATCCTCAAGGTGCAATTTGAGGAAGAGTTGTGTCATCTTGGCTATAGATTCTCAAGTGGCTTCAAAAGGGGGTAGATCATGCCATTGGATTAGTAACTTGAGTCCCTTGGTTGATTGCCACACGTCAAGAACTTCAACTTGTTGGACTATCCATTGCATGCCACTATCTAAGCTCACAACTAGTAGTTAGTAGGTGCATGATAGGTCCAAGTGGTAGACAACATTGTTGATGTGCTCCAAAACTTAGAAAGGCTCAAAAAACTTGGGTGCTAGCTTCTCATTCCTCCACTATGCCAAAGTTTTCATCCAATAGGGCTATAGCTTGAGATAGACTTTATCACCCTCTTTAAACTTCACATCTCATCGATGACAATCAGCAAAGTGTTTCATGCATGTTTGGACTTAGGCAAAGTTCTCTTTAATTATGTCAAACATCTCATCTTGTGTCTTGAGGAGATCTACCAAGGTCGAGAGCTTCACCAATAGTGAGCCAAAGTGAACAATTAGGAGAAGATCTTTATCATACAATACACAAAAAGAAGTAGTTGAAGAGAATAATGAAATGTTAAGTTGAACCACAATTCCGTCCACGAGTCATTTACTCTATTAACAAGACTTGTTTGAGGAGAAATAACAAAGGAAGAATTTAGACAGTTGTTAACTTTCTTAGTTTGACCATCTATTTGAGGGTGGAATGATGTGTTTTGCCTAAGTTTAGTGTCATGTAATTTGGGGAACTCTATTCAAAATTAGTTGAAGAAAATTGTCTTGATATGAGATTATGGAATAGAGAATCTCATGAAGCCTAATGATCTCTTAGAGGGATATTCTTGTTACATCTCTTGCTGAATATGGGTGTCATAATGTCACAAAATGTGTAAATTTAGTTAAGCGATCAACCACAACTAAGACATAGTTCTTATTGTAAAAGTGTAGTGAGCCCTCTATGAAGTCCATGGTCAATTTGTCTCACATTTGTTCAGGTATTAAGAGGGGTTACAATAAGACTATCAATGAGGTTGATGCATCCTTATGTATTTGACACAATGAGCATTCAATCACATATTAGAGGATGATTTACTCCATATTGATCCATAAATGACTAAATAATTCAAGAGGGAGGGGGGCTGAATTAAATTTTAATTTTTCTAAAAATATCTCATTTAAATATATATATATATATATAAGCCAATAAAAGATAGTTCAGAATATATTTTAAAATAATTCACTAAACTCTTTTGACTTACATCCACTTTTGACTACTTCACTTCGATTTTATTATTCTTCTTCATAATACAATCTTAATTTTTATGGAATTAAAAACTATTTTTTAACCAGTAATGATGTTTGAAATCACGCATTTGTAGGAAACAACATCAACTATCATTCACAATTGGATAAACTCAAAGGACAAGGTCACCCTTTTAGTTAACTCAAGCACATGTTTATTATCTAATTAAAACTCATTTAGTAAACAATAGTAAGCATTTTTTTTTATTGACAATTATGCTCATGTGAGTTGGATATATTTTTTAAATAAATAATTATATGTATTTTTTTAATTTATTGTTTATAATAATATTTGTACCATTAGTGGATGTGTTATTAAAACCATGTGTATAAATAGAGAGTGA